GACACATTTGACGACATGTAATTATGAGTGAACGCGGATTCTGGTTTGTTCTGTATTCTGAGCAAAGAACTGTCTTTATTTGTAAATCAATAAGCGAAAAATAGGTAACGTATGGTAGCCTATCGATTCATGAAGACAGACAAAATCACCAGTGGTGTGTGATGATTAAGACGTGTGGGAGAGCCAAGCTTCGGCACGAATGGACAGCAAAGCTCGACCGGAGTGATATAACGGCCTCACAGAAAACCGGCGTGAAACAACCACAGCGTTGTATTTCGCCGTGAGAGTGAGGTTACCGGAGGCCCAATCCTTCCCCTCCCCCGACCCTTCCCCAATCCCTAAACCTCCAAATCCCTAATCCCTAAAAGGTCGGCAACGCAATCGTAACTCCTCCGTTGGACACCCTCCATGGGCGGCGCATACCATCAGGTAAACCGTCTGCTCGTTTGCCGACTTATTGAAACTTAAAGATTTATCTCAACATTCGAGAAAGTTCTATAGTTTAAATGACCTTTTATAGAAATAGTGTGTAAGAACTTAATCCTTTAATCGATACGTTACACTGACCAACCTTTCCCCAATTTCGCCAGACATCCAACGTTTCCAAGATAGATACTTCAATTTCAATCGAAGTGCTATCCACTCGAGTTGGACACGTAATTGAAACAGGACGCTGGGGTCACTTCTCTACTTAATAGCAAGTGATCCGACACTATTGATACACGTATTTGGAACTTATTTAGTTGTTAACGGTTGTGCCCTTTGACCTTCATTAAGAAACGGGAATTTTTGTATTTTATTTTACGTTGTAATTGAGAAGGTTTTAGTTGGGGTTCAGGTTTTGGTTTCGAGGAAATAGTTTTTCAGAACGTGAAAGGAGGTTCGATTTTCTGACTTCTCACACTGTATTACTAATATTATAAATGTGAATACATTCACATTTATATAGGGTGTATGTTTGTTTTTCTTTTACACAAAAACCGCTGAACCGACTTGGTTGTAATTTGGTATGTCGATAGGTGATCTTGGATTAACACATAGTGCTTTATATAAACCACAGACGACTTAACATAAAGACCGCGGTTTGCCAGGCATATGCATTCGCCAAGTTTAGGCAGTGACACCGCATAAGAGCCGTCTCTGGCCCTTTCTGTTTCTCATTCCGTCGCCGAGAATCAAAGCGAAACAACAACGTAGTCAAATCGCAACCCGCCACTATTTAACGATTTTGGTTTTCGTACTGAAGTTTTTTTACGGGTGGTCTTTAGGTTGAGTCATCTGTGATATCAACATACCACGCGGGCGCAGCCGTGGGCGGAATCTAGTATTATTTTAAAAAGGTATTAACTTTTAGACCAACAGATATTAGAGTTATTTTTGTAGTATTTTTCTAAACAAGATCTTTGGAAGGTAGAAAGAAATAAAATGAAACAATAAAATTCAATGATGATTTTTATTCTAATTAAATTTAAGTGGAAACATGAATTCTTATAACACGAATCTAAAGAAGGAAACGCTATTATATTCTTAATTACGAAATACTTATTAAATTAACAAATTGTCTTTCATTTTGTCATCGTTCAAATAATACAAAATAACTTGTGCCAACGAAATAAAACGCAAGCTTCAATATTATGGCACGATTGACACGACCACAATGACAATACTAGGTAATTACGAAAAAAAATACGAAAAAAATAAACAAAAAAAATTCACAAAAAATAGACTTAAAATTATGCAAAATATAATCACAAACATCAACGTTGTTTTTTTTTGCAAAATTGTGCCAAAAACGAGCTCTTTTTCAATGATAGTAGAGGACACATTTTTTTTATATTGTAAAAAGACTATGTTTGAAAATTTTCGGTTAAGAATTTTTATTTAAATATCACGTTAATAGGCCATTCAAAATTTCAGTAAAGGCCACGAATAGGCCATAGGTATATGTCTATTTTTGGTATGTTCCATCGATTACTATGTCAATGGTAGTTATTTTCCATTTTTAAATTCAAATTTACTAATTTTGCGACTGTTATCCTAGTAGTCCTCTACCTACATTTAACAATAGAAAGCTCGACAGTGCCAAATGTAACGCTACTTATGTTAAAAGTGTAACAATTATTATGTAACTGTAATTAAAAACATTTTACAATTTTATCTTTACCATTTTTACCATTATTTTGAGAAGGCACATGAAAATTTTTCTTATAAATAAATTAATCGACAGCGCGATGAAAATAATTTAAAATTACTTCTCAACTCATTCTTGTTTTCACTAAAAAGCGAAGGTAATATGTTTTTTTGTGTGGTTGCGATTGAACCGTCGCAAGTGTGTCGTAACATTGAAATTAAAATCGCAAATACAACGCCAGCCTTTCTTCAAGCTCAATTTATCGTTCTGTAATTCACATTACGTGTAACAGTATTATATATAATGTATTTATATATGAACTGGTCTTACATACTATATAAAAATACAACAATATATTTCTGGATGAAAATTGTTTGATTTGTTGATCAAATTGAGATTTGTTCACAATCTCCAACCGTCTCAAGTTCGTATTGAAAAACTCGACTCAACATTAGAAAAAAAGATGTCCTGTCATTTGAAGTCAAATTGATAGACAAAAGTGTTGTTTATTTTTTATAATCAACAGACCAAACAACTTTGAGTGGTACCTAGGTGATATGCCACAGACAATATCTTATTTTGTACACACTACAGTATTTTACAATCATCTATATTATATAAAAAAATTAAAACACAAATATTTGGATTAATGAACTAAAACAGAGGTATTTTGTATGACTTTTTTTTAATATACTTTTATTTTTTTCGTCAAAAACATTTTTCTTTTCTTAATTTAATCAATGGTTTTGTTCCCAAAACAGATTATGATTGGCCAGCATGATTTAGCTTGAATGAATAGCTATAACAAACAGCGTATGTACATGTATAGCCGATAGCAATAACAGGAAATTGTTATGACATGGAATAAGGTCCGTATACCACAAAAGAGGTTTTATTTATTAAAATACTGTCTCATTTAACAGAATTTCGAAAAAGAGATTTTTATGTTTGTATTTTAAATATGGAACGAATTTTATTCCAAAATCATAATCAATTTCATAATAATAACAAAAACAATGTATATCGCTCGCTACCACTACGTTAGAATAAGAAAAATATATATTTTTTATATATCAAACTAATATTACAAAAGCTCGTGAGAGTAATATATTATTATAGATGATTTGTACAAGCGATGCCTTTTTGGAACATTACTGAAATTGATAATCAAAAACCGATTTTTTGTCACATTTTTCTTATTGTGTCGTTACATAGTTATTTTTTATGAACCTAAAAAAGCATCGACCGTAAAAACCAGTGTCACAAGAAAATGTCTTTTACATTTTTAAAACTACAATACACTAATAGATATACAAACGATTATACACGTTCCCGCGTTTTTAAGAAAAATCCAAACAATCCAATTTTTCAAATAGAAAAAATAAAATAAAAACTGGATCTGGCAAGGATACATACAACAAAAAGGAATCGAAACCTTTTAAATTCGACTAAAAACAAAACAAAACTGTACGCATCTTACTTAACCCTACACACTTGAAAAACGTAAAAAAGAAAAAAAATAACAAACGATTTTTTACATGTCTTTAGAATCTGCTGCTTTGAACTGACTTGCGGAATACAAATTGTCTTTAAAATATAGTCATGTTAAAAAAAACCGTTAAGAAAGCTGTCTTTTAATCGATGTTTTTATATCATTATAGATACATTAAATGCATATCACAACTGCCCTCTATCGTCAGTAATGAATATTTAAAATTTTATCCTGATGTATGTAAAGTACAAAAATTTACGGTTATTATTATTATATTTTATTTCATCAAATATTTAAATCACTACTTCAAAACTATGGAAGCCAAAATTGATGGTTTTGCTAGAAACACCATCTACAAAAATGCGACTTTTTTTTAAATTGTTTATTAAATAGGTTACCTATGCATTTATTGTAAAACGTACGCATCTAATATTATAGAGATAGCTTTTCTATTAAACAGTGGTCCTATTAATATTTTTTTCAAGATAATAAGAAAATATCGCAGTGGTCCAATATTCATATTTAGTTGAAATCAATTTTTTTCATTTCCGAACGTTTAAAATCGACTAAACGATTATTCGTAAGTCATATTATTCGAAATTTAACGATTTAAAAAATGACGCTGTCATTTCGTCGAATGACATTTGGCGGGCTATTTGAAAAAGAGCGCCAAATTCCGTCGTAAGATTAGAAGAGCTATCCCATTGTTTATTTTTTATTAAAAATGATTATCATTTTAATATAATTCATTTATGATTGTGGTTCTGACCCTGCCTCGTTTAAGCAATATTACTATTTTACTGGTACATATTACAAATTGTTACATTTTCCTTATAATAACAACTACGTCACTAAAAGCTTGACCAAATTTAGGCCGATAGGAACTAAAGTGACAAAAATGAAATAAAACTATGAAAGTATTGAAATAAAAAATGTCATTTAAAGAGTAAAATTCGAAATGTGCTCTAAAGTTGACTAAAATTTATTCAATGTTGGTATTACTGAACTGCGATTTTTAACGCTGATAAAATAACTTCATTCTTATACTAACTCTCACTTATGTTAATTACAAAACTTACCTTAGAGCACTGTAATAATAACAGCCAAGTTATTTAATAGCGCCTCGCTATTTGGTACTTGATCACTTACATCAAGAGTGAACGCCGTATTTTTTATTTTAATATGCATTAGAACAAAAAAGTATGTAACCATAATAATAAAGTATAAATACTCATTATTAAATAAGACCAAAAATAATTTTTCGAAATAAATAAATAAAAAAGTGTACAATTGTAACAAAATGAAAATTCTATTTTAATAATTCTTGATTGCCAGTGATGATGCGAGGCGCTTCCACAGTGGTGTCAATTCCTGTAACTATGAACTTTCTGGTTCATCCCAGTCGATGCTCGCCCATTGTGGCAGCTCAGTTTCGTACTCCCAGCCGGGTCCCTGCGAGAAACAAATTTAATTAGGTCACATATTATTTTGTACTTGCGCGTTTTATTTCTAAGAAGCTTTTTATTGCTCTTTTTCTTTCATATTAAGGCATTCAAATGTTGTTTGCAGTATACGAAAATTTTAATGTCATATTCGAAAAAAATATACAATCATAGTGTTGGACTGGGCTTTGGGCATAGCTTTGAGCATAGGATTGTGTCATGACCATTTTTTTTATTCGAATTATGAAAAAGAGAGAATGGACAAGAAAATCGCCCTTCATTTGTCAACGCTGCGACCTTCCCCTTCCCCTCTCTTTCCCGACTCTGCTCCTACGCCTACTGTTACCTCACCGCGACTTCAGCAGTGTACGGTGTTCAATAATATTCTAAACAAAACTTAAAACTAGAAGAAGCGTGTCTTGTGACCGCATGTGCCCCGACGCTGACTCGGCTTTTATGTCTATGTGCTATAAACAGCTTAAGAAAATCGACCTTCGTTTTTAGATTTTCAATCGAGAAGCAGAAAGAACGAAGAAGGCCAAACGCTTGTTACTCCTTTACTGTTACGACGGTTTGTTTACCATCAGCTAATACAAGAAAAGGTACTATACAAACCTTGTATTTCCATGCATGCAGGTACATGACGAGATCCCTCGGCCTAGGGTCCCTGTACCTCACACGGCACTCGTAGCAGTGAGGGTCCGAAGACAGTGCGTCAGTCGAGCCGCTTGCCGAGCTACTTGCTAGTCCACTCGCCTGGCTAGTGGCGGCCGGCGTGCAGCCAGTTTGCGTCGCTACCGTCACTTTGTCTGACTGTTGAAGAAAATTTTAGGTTAAAATAATAACAATATTTTATTTGTTATTGGACTATAATTTCAGTATCATGTCATCTACCTAGCTACTATCGTAGAAAATGTGGGATGTATTTTAACTATTCCAAATAAGTAGAGCCAAAGTGTATTTTTTACTAATCTTCACAATTCCAATTGTAGGTACACATTTTTTACTTTTTAAGGTATTGGTCGTTAAACGTATACAGGGTGTAAGGGACAGCCCTCCACAAATTAACAGGGTGCATTCAGCTCCTTATTCTGAATCATATTCCAGTGAAAATTCTTTCAGGAAAATTTTCATTTTTTTTTTCGTTTTTTCAGTTCCTACACCTCTATTTCAATGTATAATTACATTCTATGTATGAAGAATAACATTAATGTAAATAACACAGCTAAAACAAAAAAATACGCAATGGTTGTGTGAATTCTCTAAAGAACTACGCATGAAATCAGCTGTTCAATTTCTACCTAGCGCGAGTCGTTTGAACTCACCGCACCGCGGTCACGGCGCATCGGCTCGGCGCCCCACCGCGCCGATCGCCGCGCCGCGCGCCGTAGGTATAATACCTACGATCCCGTCCAACGTACAGAATAGCTGCGTCCCTTTCTATCGCCCCGCCTCCGCGTCTCCCCGTCTCCCCGATTCTTTGCACAATGTTTGCCCGATTGAACCAGTGTTGCCAATTTTTAACTTTTGTTACCTCAGATCTTTCTTTTCATTAATCAATTAATGAAAATCTTATCGCGCACATAAATTGAATAAGAAATAAATAAAGATTAGTCTAGTTTTAATTTTAAAGCATTTACAAATACTACCTAATTTATTAATTGATTGTTCTTTTTAAGCGATTACTGGCTAGTTTTTAAACTACTTACAGATTTTTACATGGCTTCACAATAGCCATGAATTGATAGTCGAGCCAGAAATTAAACACAATCTCCCTGGAATGGAAGCACAGCTTTCTATCACACTGCACTTTTATTATTCTAAATTAACTAAACAATGAAATTAGAATTAAATTGATTTAATCAATTCATTTCTCTACAAAAAATAACAGAATGATAAATTACGACCATGCATATTTTTTTATTTTTTACCCCGAAATTTTGTAATTTTCGTGTAATTGGCAACAACAGATTTATGTCTGTGTGTGTCTCATCACATGCAGTCGCCATTGTGCCTTGTTGCGATGTTATTGTTTGTGTACCGCGAGCGTGTATCGGTACGGATCGCTCGCGCATTCGGCTTAAAAGTTTTGTTATAAGTAGTGTTGTTAAGTTTTATTAGTTATGTAGTGTGTGAAGTGTAGTGAAGTTTTGTTGTAGAAATTGTGCGAAATTATTATCTAGGTACGTTTAGCGCGCGTGATTATGGGGAGATGATAATGTGTTGTAGTAGTGTAGGTATCCTGACCGTCGCCATCCATCAGACTCTAGGATAATTACTGGTGACTATCAACGCTTGCTAGAAAACCAGCCCATTGTTCCCAGACAAAAAGGCGCCGGAAGACCAATACCTACGTGGATTTTGGAATTGGTTCGCTAACGTAAGGAGACGCTACCACTTACCAGTGCTTTCCTATTTAAACGTAGTTTAGGTAGGTTTGGACCGCAACCGTGGCCAGCACGATCCCCAGACCTAACCCATTTGGACCCCTTTTTGTGGGGTTACGTAAAAGAAAAAGTGTTTGTGAGTGCGTGTGCAAGTGAGTACGAAATGCGAGACCGCATCACAAATGCTTTCCAGAGCCGGAAACCGGAGCGATTCTAAGGTACCTACGCATTTTTCTTTTTTTATCATTTATCAGTTACCATGTTATGATTGTTAGATTTTCTTTTGTTAGTAATGCGGCTATCTTTTAAATAATAATTTATTGTTATTAAAACGTGACGCGAGCGCGATTATTAAATTGTCTTTTGTAAGTAATGCGGCTATCTTGTAAATAATAATTTATTGTTATTAAAACGTGGCGCGAGCGCGACCGTTTGTCCGAAAGGTAAGGTCGCGGCGCTGCCCATAGTGTAAAGTAATAATACTAAAAGCGCTGCCGTTCGCTGCGTGCGTTTGCGGTGGTAGCGATACATTGCGTGTATGGTAATGAAACAAATCGGTTTAATTGGATTCCCATAACGTTCCTGAAATAATTTCATGTACCGGTCAACTTAAGACGATATACTGAATCCACCCTATCAGTTTGCGGAAGGCTGTCCCTTACACCCTGTATAATACTTCGGGATACAAACAAATTCGGTTCGGGTTAGTGCTGAATCTAGCTACCTGCAAAATATATTATTTACCTATAGACAATACCAGGTACTAGCATACCTAATACATATTAGAATATTTATCTGCATACAGGTACATACGTACGGTATCTGCGATTGGTAATACTAGGTATTTCCCACATCCCTACGTCCATTTTACCCAAATAACACGGATTAGGTCTAACAGATGTATTCCAGGATGTCTCTAGGCCGAACTAATTCTACAAATCTTGTTAGGATCAGACAATTAGGCTCTGGGCTGATGTTACCGCGTTCCGAACATTAATTTAGGCTTTGAAGTAGAATATAGTTAGGTACTTAAACATTACTGATTTTGTAATGGTTACATAAATGTAATTGATAAGAAACGGGTTGAGTTAATTGTGGCCAAATAAATTTTAAACCTTAGATAATCCAAGACCGTACTTTAACAGTTGGTTTTTTTAATCATATCAAAGTTGGGTCTGACATTCTTCAGAGTAAAGTTATAGCTATTCCTGCTAGAAGCTATGGAATTACTATTCATATTAAAAATGGGAGAGCCAAGTTTCTGCAGGGATTGCCAGTGTCGGCCGGAGTAATACCATGGCCTCACCGAAAACTGGCGTGACACAAACAAAGTCATGTGTCGTTGTATGAGTGAGGCCCAATCATCTCCCAACCTCCACCCTATATTCCAAAATATCTAAATTCCGAAATTGTCAATCCGCAATTTCACACATCCCTAAAATACCGGCAATAAAATTTCACTTCCTTAGTATTGCTTAGGTCTATGGGCGACTTCGATTGCTTGCCATCAGGAGAATTGCATGCTCGTTTGCTTCATAAAATAAAAAATATTAGCAATGTGCATAATCAATTCTACCATCATCAAATACGAGTGGCAGATATAGGCCATCTTTTCATCCATACCTTGGCATCATTGGAGTCTTCATTGAAGGATGGAGAGGCGACTGGTGATGGTGCCAGGGTGCATACTGGCGAGTTCACCTCCGATGGAGCCTCTGCACCGCTTGACGGACTTGGCAGCGTTGCTGATGAGGAAGAAAAGTCTGATGAGGGAATGTCGAGTTAAGGTAAGCACGAATAACAACGTTTTACCGCGCGATAAAGTTATTGCAAAATTTCAGTTTGTTTATAGAACAGTGTTCGAATACGTGACATAAAATGATGCACATTTTCTTACACGCTGTAACTATGCGCAGTGAGAGCCAGGCCTCAAACTTCAAAATTAATGTTTCTAAAAGTTTCTTTTCGTTTCGTCTTGTGGCTTATAGTCGACCAAAAATTTGGTTTTGATTGAATAGGTCTTGTTATAAAAGCAAAAGCCTCTCAAAGATCTCCGAAATAATAACGCAAATAGGTTTATAGATTGTTGCATTTTACCATTAATAACCACCATAATCGAATTGGAAAACTAACTAGTTAGGTATACTCAGATTAATTTTGGTCCGCGAAATCGAAGCTGTATGGAACATTACACATTTTCAACAAACACGCTTAAAAACTTACGAGTCATGATGGTAGATGGTGTCACTCCTGGGGCTGGAGACTCGAGTCTCGGAGACGATTCCCTGGAAGCTGGTCCGGTGTCGCAGTCATCCTCACCAACTGTTGAGTGGAATACAATAAGCTTCGCCGCTAAACCGTTGTATTTCGACTGCCTTTTGACAGTAAAATTGTGTACTTTATAGTTTTGTTATGAGATAAATAAATCATTAAAAGTTTATTTTAATTCATACGAAACATTTGCTGTAACAAAATCTGCTTTATGAGTAAACATGTAAAAAGTAATTGGGATTAAAGTTCTACGTACTATTAAACATGACTTTTCGATACCCATGTATCTATTAGACAAAAGGCTTAATAAGTTGTATAATATATCAGACTTCACAAGTATTAAAAAACGAACAGGAAAACTCTTTTATAACATTCTGTATCTTCGTCCGTACCTATCAAATTCTCACTCGTACTACTTATCTCTATATCTTCAGTAATATCATACACCTTACCTTTATCATCAGACACTGGTTTGGAGAACAGCAAATCATCATCAGCAGCATCCACTCCCAGCCAGTTTTCAGCATTATGGATGGCAATCAGGTCTCTCACCAGCTGCTCATCAGACTTGCCGCCCGTGTCGCCACCCTTTCCTCGGAGGGGTCCGAAGACAGGATGATTGTAGAGAGGGTCATTAACTACTGGATATCCTGTGATAAGATGGAAATGGATATGAGTTCAAAGATGACATCAGAGCAGACATAGTCTTCTGATAGCATTTTATTTGATTCTGAAATCTCTCTTAGTCAGTTTTTAGTTTACTGATACAAATACTGACTAAGAAGCAGCCTTAAGTAGGGATAGGATATAAAATTTAGTTTTATAAAAACCTAAGCAAATCTATACTTATATTAGTAAAAAAGTAAAATTTGTAAGTAGGGGGAAATCTCTTTGAAATTTTTGGGATCGCACCCAGGAACGAGCAACAACAAATTCATCTTTTCCTATGAAGATTATGGCAAAACAAAAAGAAGGCTTATGGTCTAGCAATGGATTTTTACGGACTTTTGTGATGGTCGTGTAAATTAACGATATCCTCATTCTATCATTTCTTTTTTTTCTCAGAATCGTCATCAACTTACCCAAATACTGCAAGTGCACCCTGATCTGGTGCATCCTCCCGGTCTTCGGTTTGCACAAGACCACGCTTGTGTTGCTAGCTGCGTTGTAGCCTAGCCTCTTGAACACTGTCGAGCAATCCTTGCCCTTAGCTGACACCTTGCACACTCCAATCTTGTAACTGACCACTTCAATTGGCTCTTGGCATTCGATTTCATCACTGTAAGGAGAAGTAGGGTTAGCTTACGTTCATTATTGTTCAATATCATTCATAGTATCGTTTGAAGAAGTAGGTAAAGTAAGTAGTTAAATTATATTTTTTTCCCTGACAGAGTCTTATATCTAATACTTGGATTTGAAAATTCTGTTGAAATGGTTTACCAGAATCCTGACTTGAATAATTCACTGACTGTTTTGAATTTGGAATAACTTCTTTCAGCCTAATAGTCTTTTAAATTAGGTATACATATCATTATCACTTACCCCCCAGTTTCCGAAAGGCCGATCAATGTTAAAATCAATTTAATCTCTTGTGAAGTCATCTGATTGGTTGACTGAATTATCAACAAAATTTATTATTTGATTTAACAGGAGATAGTTAATTTTATCGTTGACAAGCCTTTCAAAAACCGGTTGTGAGTCTATGACAAAAATTGAGACAGTGAAAACTACACATACAAGCTGAAAGTGCTGTGCTCATACAAGCTGAAAGAAATCAGGATCCAAATGAAAAACAACAAATGAAAAATCAATACAAAATATCAAAAACCCTATTCAAGTCGGTAAAATAACAATTTTACACCGACAGTCTGTATCATGTTGATTGTAGTGGAAAATTGCAAATGTACTGAAACACCGACAATTGACAATTCTGATGTTGGATATGAATGAATGATTCATAAAATGGTGGAGAAATATTCTAAACGAGACTTTCGTTGAATATGTTTAAAAATCTTTTGAATTTTAAAAAGAAGTTTAACAGTAAGTCTTTCATGGAATCATGAATGAGTTTAATCTTACTAATACTGTAAATGGATAAATGGACATTTGTTACAATTGTTAGAATTTCAAATAAAAACTACTCAACGGATCTGAATGAAATTTGGCATAGAGATAGATCAATTCTGGAAATACACATACGCTACTTTTTTGTTCTGGTACTGTGGGCGAAGACTGAGTATTTAAATGTTTAGAGATTTTACTATATGACCATATAATATGATAATATATGTAGTTGTAATTCCACGAAGAAAATGACAGATGTCTGATTTTTTTATGGGATTGGCAGATCATCTGACAGGTAAGCAATCGACGTAGGCCATGGACACCTTCAACAGGTGAGGTATTGCAGTTTGTGTGTTGTGTACGGTGCATTTCGGCTTTTTTGGGTTAGGGACCAGTGGATTAGGGGATTTGGCAGTCGAGGATGGAAGTAGGGGACAGAATGAGGCTCTGGTAACCTCACTTACAGGGGTAAACATAACGCAGTGTTGTTTCAAGCAGCCAGTTACAGTAAGATTACATCGGTCGAGCCTCACATGAATTCGACAAAACAAATAATATCAGCGAACATGAAACTCGAGATCATGATTATCAGACCAGCGAGCCACCTCACCAAAATTATTTTTATTACTCATAGAAATTTATATCAATGTAGATATTCAAAAATAACAGCCAAGAACCTTCACATTCCAAGCTGCATCTCTATTGAAACCGTGATTGAAACACTTCGTAGCTCACCAAGTGTACTTAAATCAATAAATATTTTCATTGGGTTGTCAACTGTGACAACTCAAAAGGTCAAATATAAACTCTACATGTCTGAGTTTAAGTTTAAATTCATTTGTAGGAATATGTTTTGCTGTGTGTGTCGTTGTGATAATGGTAGTTACAAGATCGATGGTAAGTGTTAAGCCTTCAGTAAATGATCAACACTGGTTATTATTTAGGTTGAACTTGTTGAAAATAACCCTGTTGCAATACCATATCTTCTATATATGTAAACAATAATTTCTGTTTATTTATCTCGCTAAAGCTCGAGAATTGCTGGACTGATTTACTTCATTCTTCGTGGAAGTGCAGGGACAGTTTGAACATTTAGAAAACCTTTTTTGTTTGTGCGACGATTAGCCTGACCCTTTTTTTTAATGAAATTTGGCTCTAGTCAGACCTTTGGCACTTTTTCCGATAACATGGGCAACACCGCTGGCAGAAGCTAGTATCAAATAATAGTGACACTTACTCAGGGAACTCTCCATCTACTCTGCAGACGTATTCCTTCTGCACCTGTCTGTTCCTGATCTGATGTTCCATCTGTCTCGCCTTCTTTGGACTCCTCCCGAATAACAGGAGACCTGTATTACATAAAACCTTTAATATATGCATAATGAGAATAAAAAATCTGTAAAGCCAGGACTATATACGACATGTTAATGTATAAAATATTCTAAAAATGTGATATTTTACTCTATCCCCTTTACTTTTAACCTTTTGGTCATTGCCATTACTAAATAAAACCTCACATTTAGCTAAGTCAATTTCTTTTTCAAAAACAATATTCGTACATTCATTTAAAAACTCTAAAAGCCCGACTATTCTTAGTTTAATGACCTCGCTTTGACGAGTGCAAAAACCACGTCTTACGGAGAATTTAGAAAAAATAAAGTCAAGAACCTCCCGACCATTTACCATTTATCAAATAAGACCCCGTCTTAAGTTTGAAAAGGAGCAGAAATCAGATTTACATTTACACCAATTAAAATTTCAGTGAGTGTAATTTTCTAAAAGGCTTCTTGTGAAAAGATTTGCTGTTTAGAGCTTACCTGACGTCAACCTGTCGAGCCTGTGGATGGTTCTCAAGTTCTTCAAGTTGTACTCTTTTGCGAGAATAAAAACGACTGTGTTGTGCCTGTACCGTCCACATGGGTGAACCTAGTGAAATAATTTTTATTATAATGGATTTTAAATTTCAAGACGATAGTGATAAAAAATTAAAATTAAATTTGAGATTAAACCATGCTTTTGATTTGAGAGAAATATTTTATTTAGAAACTTAATAATTTATCGTAAAAGTAATAAATTGAAAATCAGAATTGAATACGGTTTTTTGTCTGAATACTAAAACCCTAACTTAGCTATAACAGTTTCAACTGAAAGGAAAATTCAAATACGAGCATCGTTTCAATATTCAGACGTTAATTTAATAATTCAAAATCCCAAAAAACTCGTAGACATCATAATCAAGATACCTGATGAAAATATAAACGAATAAAGTAACGGTGATGAAGCAAGTCAAATGAGAGTCCAGTAGCTTCGTTCCTATGACAACCATCAAGCAAAATATCTCATTATATACTTTAATTTAAAGTTGCAAATACATCAGCAAGATTAAACAACCGCTCGCTAGATTTTTGCCACAGGAAACTAGACCGTAATGATGATATGCACACAAAAGGCACAGAGATCGTACGTTTTTCTACAATATAAACGTACATAAGAGTGAAAATAACACAGCAAAATCAATATATTGATTCACATGCACAGTAAATAGTGAGAGAAAGAATAAGTAAAAAGATATACAGTAAAGTAAAGCGAGTACCGAGCCATGAAACAAAGAATTTTAACATTTCGATAGATTGAATTGCATCGATTTTTCTCTCGTATCGTCCTCGACACAGAAAGGGTAGAGGTAGCGGAAAAAAACACTACATTTCACCAAAATCAGCCAATTGATCTTTGGTTACAAAATTCAGTATACAAAAGGTCCTTTATTTTGATGATAAATTGGAAACATTGAAGAAAACACATGCATTTACTTTGAGTAACATATCTTTTGTAACAGCACATAAGTTTATATATTTATTTAAGGTTAATACTGTAAACGAAACTCCTCATGCATAAAATCGTTCACCGTTTTACGAATATCTCATAGGAAGGCGTATCCTTCCACGTAGTAAATTTGAGTTTGTATTTTATTTATAGGCGGTATAAAACCGCTACCATCCACTGAATTTGTTACTGCAAACATTATTCGGGAAAAACTTACAAGAATTGACAAAATGCGACGTTAGATACTCCTAATAAATACGACATATAAGATTGTGCAACTCAATTTACCAAAATGTAAAAGAAAACATTCGTAAATGTTTTTGTTTTTGGACAAAAAATTATTGAATCAGGTTAAACACTGGATAACACGGTACGCGCTTGAATGAAATGAAATAAAATAGTAGAAAGTATACGGGGCTCGCAATACTCAAGTTCGGGACCACTTTCAAGTGGTATTTTCGACAAGACCGCACATTTTCAACTCTGTTTGTGGTATTATGTTTCAAACTTTTGTGCAGATCACAATCTAGTCAGACTCTGACAGCGTACTTTGTTTGGACCGAGAAAAAAAAATTAACCCACCGAATTTTCTCTGTGCTATCTTTGAACAGATTTATTTTCTTTCTCATTGTACTTTCAACGGTCTTTCTTTTACGTCCTTTTTGTAACAAAAAAGGGATTCTTTTATTGTGGGAAAATCATAATGTTACAAGAAGGTATTACAAAGTTCAGGGATTATTTAATTGCGAAAGATTTTCTATAGTCCCAAAATATGTTTTTTTGGCTATGTAGGGATTTTGAGGAGCAATCACGTTTCTGCTTTTTATGATATTGAGTTGAGTGGGAACGATGGAGGAGTTGGGCTTGTTTTGAAGTGTGTTTCAAGGTCCAAGTACCAGTCAGAGCCTGACGATGATGATAAAACGGTCCCAACGCATGACTCACCGGTAGCGAGCAAGGCTTGTCTAGCACGAGTAGCTCTTCATCCACGTGTATGATGCGCAAAGGACTAGCGAGCACTGGAGTCTCGTGCCTGGCCCACCACGGACATAACATTGTTTCATTACGGACTTTATATAGTCTTATGATGTTGCAATTGCCTTTGAGAACAACCGTATCAACGCCCGTTGCTTCTATTTCAAAATATTCTTTTATTTTTGGTAAAACAACAATCAGAAGTCTAGATTGTGATTACAACAAACGAAATTCAAACATAAGGCTTTATATAAATTCTTAGCTGTTACTAACTCAATATCCCCTTTGCGGCGTCTGCTTGGGAATTTAATAATGCAGAAAAATCTGTTCCATAAATATTTTGATCGAGAGAGCTAGACTTCAAAGTGAGCTTTATTGATGTATGAGTTATTTACAAGGCTTGGTTACATACAACTTGGGACAATAACAAAAGCTTCTGTCTTTTGATAGGAAAGACATAAAATATTTGGTAGATTTATGAGTACTTTTAACACCAAAATCTAAAGTAGACATAAGATTTTCTACAAGAAAACATTTTAGGGATATTAAGGGAACAAAACAGCTAAACAAAGGTGATCTTAATGGCTTATTCAATAATGCACAGAGTGGAAACATTAAAATTAATGAGATACTCAAAGTGCATTACAACATCATAGAGAATGTAAATACTTAATACATTGGTGACACAGCAGAAATAGGGTCCTACTTTTAAATTAATGAACACTTCGTTAAAGCAATTAATAAAATATTAGTGCGTCATGTTAACGCAATAATATTTAACAAAGATACGGATAAAAGAAATGTGGAATTTGTTTGTTTGCGTGCAAGAATTTACAACATTTGGGTGAATGTGTTTTTAGAAACATTGGAATTAAGTATCAAAGAAGGACCGTATATAGGAACAATTAACTATTTCGCTGTGTAAAAAGTTATTTACGAGTTCAAGGATTCTAATCCTGCTTGATTTGATGGCAGGATTCTGATATCTAACACATAAAATGAGTATTACAATGTACTATACGGAGTAGCTCGTAACTTCGTTGTAAACTTTATAAGATTTGAATGAAGGTAACTTTGAGTAGATAATTTTTCAAGTGAGTGGTAGGTAGGTATACGACTTTATTTTATTTTGTGTATTTGTATTTGTGATTTCAGAAGTTTTTTTGTTTATGTTAAGGAGAGTAATATGTTAGTTTAGAAAGATATTAAGAATTAAATTGAAAGAGAAGCAAATATTAAAGAAGAATTCAGTGCATTAGTAATAGCGACGAAAGATTTAGAAGCTGATTATAGAAACGTGTTATATTAAAATATATAATAAAAGAGATATGTATCATCATCTTCCTGCCCTTGTCCCGTTTTATTTGGGGTCGGCACAATATGTTTTTTTCTTCCATTCTGTCCTGTCACTCGTCACGCTATCGCTAACTCCTCTGTCTTCAATATCACTTCTCACACAATCCATCCATATTTTCTTTGGTCTCCCTCTCCCTCTCCATCCATCCACATTTATACTCATATAAAATAAAAGAGATACGTATGGTGTTCAATAATAAAACTAAACCAAAACCCTTGTTCTATACATAAAATTGATTACGGAATACATAAAAATACCAGATACTGACACAATAGTAAAAAAATATTAGCCACGTATTTTTAATTTTGTCGAAAACGAAAAGAATTACTTTGAAACAATGTATACGTTTAGGAGTGTAAGGTACCTACATCACTGCTTAGTAAAAATCGGACTTAATCGTGACGTCACACGATAATTTAAATCAATACACCGTCGAAATTATTTGATTCGGTAAAAAAAGAAAAAAGAAATTGTGTTTTAAATTCAACCAGAGCTTCATCTTTCCTGAAAACCCCTAATTGTGGATATAATCCATGCATCCATATACTTATATTAAAAAGAGGTAAAATTGATTGATCGGATAATCTTTGGAATTTCCAAAATTCTGCGGGCGGAAGCTAGTTTGATATACATTTGATTACTAAAGGCTAAAAATGTAGGTCACACCGAAAATACTTTATTTTGCACCGCTTTTGGGGTCTTGAGTCATTGAGCCGTTCTATCAATCACTGGGATGGGGGTCTCAGAATCATTTGGACCCTTTTACATTCAAACTGACGAAATATTTCTTTTCTACGGGATCCGCCTAACAATTACGTCGACATAATCTATATTGATTTCTTCTTTAGACCGGTTCTATTGGGCCGAATTTATTACCATCAACATTTTGTTGGATTTTTGAGTGGTTTCAGTGAGTCTGGTCCTTAATTTAACGATAATTGCTTTATTAAATATCCTAATAATATGTATTATAAACGCGAAAATTACTAAGTATTTTTGTTACTCTTCCACGTAAAACTACTGAACGGATCTGGATGAAATTTATCTTGAATGCACGGTTGGCGCGGTGGTTGGGCTACTGGCTGCCGCGCAATGTGTCGCGGGCTCAATTCCCGCACGGAACAACTCTTTGTGTGTTCCATAAATTGTTGTTCCGGGTCTGGGTGTGATGTGTGTGTGAAATTGTATGTTTGTAAATACCACGACACAAGAGAAAATCATAGTGTGGGGCAAAAAAAAACTCTTCGAAACAAAAATCTATTTTACTTTGAAATAATAAATTGACTTCTTTTTGTGAGTCTGATTCTGATAGAGAAGCCGCTAGCTGAAAGCAGTATCATAATAAATCACATAATACATAATTATGTAACTTAGTAGATTTTTAATGTACTAAAAAGATTTAAGATTCAATTTTAATTTATATTTTTGGTGTATATAAAATTAAAACTCAAATGCGTATTTTTATTCCACTCTTATCAATAACGTATGATGATTTTGTATGCAAAACGAGAAGAGAATCTTAAACCGGTTGAATTTCGGTAGACACAATAAAAACTGTATTGTGTCTTGTGTTGCACGTCTAAAACGTCTAAAACACACGAAAGGTTAAGCAACAAAATTCTACAAATTGAGATAACACCGTATTCTGTAAGACTAAACAGAATTAAACACAATATTATAAAGAGGTAAAATTTGTAAGTTTGTATGTTTGTAAGTTCATATGTAGGGTAATCTTTGGAACTGCTGGCCGGATTGCCAAAATTCTTTCACTGATAGATAGCTACAATGTTCCTGAGTGCTATAGGTTATAAAACATCACGCTACGATCAAATAGAGCCGAGCAGCGGGTGAAACCGCGCGAGAGTAGCTAGTAATATTATATTCCGACAACTTTCCTACTTAGCGCCAATTATGAGGTCAATACTATAATGGGCGAGCTTATCGCCATACACCGGGAACAATCACGAATCCCAGTTTCGAAAAAACAAACAAATAAAAGGCAACGATGCAATATCCTTTCCTGAAAATTTCCACTTCACTGAGACAGGACGTGAGGGGAGAATAAAGCGCCTATGTAAGACTAGGTAGAATCTAGAATATGTAGACATTAGATATACTATAAACAGACATATTAGGTAGAATTTAGACCTTGTGCTATTACTATTACGATTTATATTCGTGTTATTCTTATTTTATATGTAACAAAGAAATGTATTGTAAAACTGATTGAAAAAAAGAGTAACCATCATGGAGTTTTTAGCTCGTTCTTCTCCATAGGAATCTACACTTTGGAACGAGCAAATAGCTTTACTAGAGGACAGACGGACAGACTGACACGCTTAACGTTAAAGCTCTTGAAATACTTTATTCTTTTTTTTTGCTTGACGTTCAAAAGTGCCTAATGTGGTCTAATTGAAATATATGATTTTGACTGTTTTTTAATTTTAATTTTATGGATTCGAAATTTGGTAGTTTATATCATTTGCAACATGATATAAATAATCGAAATTTAAAAGTTTTAAGTTTCTTTTTGAAGGAGAAAATCGTTTAATGACTGCTTCTGCCCTGATTGTCATTTCAGTCCAAAGGGATGTTAGACTTCTAGAGACTAAAAATCACCCCGTTCCTTTTTCTACCCCGAGCCGGGCGCGGAGTATTGATAGGCTTGCACCCGTAAATAAAACAACAACTAATACATGTTCTAAGTTTTGTTAAAAATCCAAATCCAAACTAATATTATAAATGCGAAAGTAACTCTGCCTGTCTATCTTTTCTTCAGGTCTAAACTGCTGGAGTCTGGACCTATCTGTGTGGAATTTGGTACAGACATAGTTTAAAATGCGAGAAAGGACATAGGATAGTTTTTGTACCAAAAATCTGCAGGTAGTCACTATTCCACGCGAACGGAGTCGCCGGCAAAAGCTAGTAATAGAATATGGCAAGATTCTTTCAAGACTACTGAGTTACATTGACAATATTAACGAAAACTGTGCAAATTTAATAAGCACCCCTGCCTACCCCTAAAGGCCGTGATACGTTATAACAAGAGGCTCTAATGAGAACATATATATACATTTACATACAAACACACTAGAGTAATTGGTATGTATTGTTGTTTCATCTTGGGATCCGCGTAAGGCCCTGTTTTGGGGTTCAAAAGGATTTGCTATATTCGGGTGTGAAATGCTTACTTTGAATTTAGGGATTGTATTAAACTGATTACTTCATTCATCACATATAACAATGGGGTTCTCATTACTTAACGAGGTTTTGTATGGAGTTAGTATGTATATTAAACTAGCTTTTGCTCACGACTTCGTTCGCGTAGAATAGTGACTCCCGGCAAATTTTTGGTATCAAAACTGTCCTATGTCCTTTCTCAAGTTCCAAACTATGTCCGTACCAAATTTTACAGAAATCGGTTCAGTAGTTAAGGCGTGAAGGAAAGACAGACAGAGTTACTTTCGCATTAAGAATATTAGTTTGGATTGGCAGTCCACCTAAGTCCTTTAGAGCAAGATTTCAGATTTCGGGAGACACTTAACTCTATATTTTTTAGACTTCTTATAAAGAAATTTAAAATACCGTTGGTAGATAGGAACGTCAATTCAATACTGTCAGATCTTTAATTGATTTTTCGTTATAAAACTCCAGCGTTTTTATGATTTATCTGTTTTTTGACGAAGAGCTAGCTGGATTTCTTATTCAGGTATATGATAAGAAATAAGAAGGTATACGATATGCAAACTTGAATTAATTATTTACTGAATATAAAGGTAATTCACGTGATTAAACTGAGAAAAGCTTTACGATTTGCTGTTGTGATCTGCACTAAACCAACGATATTTAGGATAAAAAAGGGAGTTTTAAAAAATATATAAGAATAGTGTTTTGTTAGCAAAGTCGGAATTTACATTATTGAAAACAACGGCACGGTTAGAATAATAAAGAGACTACCAAATTAGGTAAATTTAACTGTATGGCCGTAGCAGTGGTTGGACAACCGGCTATACTGTGCATCGTGTTGCGAGTACGTTTCCCGTTCGGAACAGGTCTTTGTGCAATTTACATATTTTTATTACTTGTCTGGGAGTGACAATATGGTGATCTCGTTTCTTTGTAAACGCACCCACAACACAGCAGAATATCCAAACATATGATTTTACTACAAAAAAGAATTGTTTATTATTTGCAGTAATAGAAAATCAGTAAATTTGATAGCAGACCAAACATTTTATGGCATACCTTTAGAGAACTTTGATAGGATACCAAATAAAGGCCGCTTTTTATTCTCACTACGCTTTTAATGCTTATAAAGATGTTGAATGCCCAACAAAATCCAGTTTTATTGACGGCAGAGATTGAGAACACGCGTCCCCATCCGAGGTAAGAAAGAAACGAATCGTAAAAATACAATTTACACATTAAATAGAGCTTAGTATGGGTTCCCTTTGGCTATTAGCTATTTTATGGCAGCCTACCTACCAAAGTAATTGAAAACCACAATGATATGTATAAGATGAGCTCCATTATCAAAACGCAGCTTCACACATACCAAGATATAACCTTCTTTAGAAGCATTAATAACATCATTCACAATCCGCTTCAATAAAATTTCTACAGAACCTATTTTAAGTTCAAACTATTTGATAAGCTCCTAATGCTGTATTCAAATAACATTTGCATTTCTAAGATGTATTGAAAAAACATATTTCTCGATTGAAAGCAAAGCACGGAATATTAATTCAACGGCTACGTCTAAAAATATACGCCCTCTATAAAGCCCGACACTGAAGTTGGGTGAGTGCTGAAAAAAAATCAACTTCTTCCCCTGTTTTGCATGTAAATTCCTACACCTCCCACACTCCCGTTTTATTCCGTAAAAGCCGATATGAAAGTGCTCCATAATATTAGGTGTCTTCTATCATGTAATGTCGGAGTATTTCTTGCCAAAGGGACCGCTTTACGTTAACGCAAAGGACTTTGTGAGAAACTAGCTTTTAGGGGCAGGAAAGCGGATTTCAGAGAAATGGAAGCCTAGCGCGGTGGTTCCACTAAAATCGTGCGACCAACTAAATTAAATTCCCGCCGGTTAGACATTAAACGCGATGTTCTTTATTGTCTGTCTGGACGATAAAGTATTACACCGAAATTCAATTTGCGAATTATGATCTCTTTGTAACTTTGTTATCTTTACTTACAACATTGGAAGCGAAGAAGAAATTAGATACTGAAGTATAAAATGAAGCTTTAATTAGTGCATTACTAAGTCTATATTAGCACGGCATGCGACACAGAAAGGGTGATATACAAGTAGTTGAAGTATGACAAGCGTACACATAACATGGCTGTCTCATTTGCCACTTACGGGGATAGAGGCCGGTTTGTTGACAACCACAATGTCCTCGTCGATATGAACGAGGGTGATCGGTTGACTGGTGACCGGTACTTCGTGCCTGCAACGATACACACGTCAGGCTTACGGCTTCTGGGCGACGGACTCGGAGCAAAACCACATAGGACTATGTTGGAAGACGACAAACTCCTTCATGTAGACGATATTCTCAAGGCCATTAACAGCAAGGAGAATTGATCTTCTTGTTGTTGATTTGACTCTGGAGTTTCCGTATTTTGCTCAGAGTTCGTTTCAATATCAGTTCTCGAGACGTATGAAATAAAGATTAGCCGAGAACGTAACAGCAAATGAACATGCGTGAGCTATTGGTAGATGTATCGTGTGATGCATGCCGTTGGGACACAAGAGACTATCTTGAACATGAAGCAGTTAACATTCAAAATGTCATGTGAAAAATCTATGTGTCTCCGTTTAAACCGGCCAATATGCACTCGCATGCTCATATGGTGCTTAAGATTATTATTGAAGATTATATTTGTGTTACAGTGGGCTAAATACAAATTAGACCTGAAATACGAACAAGCGACGCACGTCACATTATTATAAAAATATTTATAGTTAGAGTAATTGTGATAGTTTGTAAGGATACTTTAGTAAATAAATACATATAAGGCGAGAAAAATAAAGTTATTATTTACATTACTGAAATCAAAGTAACATTTGAGACTGACGAGTATTGTGTTGAACAAATAATGTTGTGTTTGGTTTGGGGTCTGTGTGTTTATTTCTAAGGTGCTGTAGCTATCTGAAGCGAACTACTTGATACCGTTGGTTTTCTTGATGGTAATGTATTGTTACCTATGAACAACGTTTGCTAGAAGGTCATTGTGCTTCAATCTGTAGTCTGGGTCCACTCTCTCGTAGTTGACGGTGAGGGTCCCCGCTCGGATGCACCGTTCGTACTCAGCTGCCGGATGGGCCCTGAATTCCCGGGCAAACACGTCGAGTATTTTCTCGCCGACCCACCTTCCTTTGGTGAATGTTGTGAACGTGAAGTAGTATGGGTACACTTTCCTGAGGCCTGTAATTAAAAATACTTTGAATATTTTGGTAGAAAATAACGCCACAAAAAGGGTAGTGATAAAATTCGTTACTTTGCTTAGTCAAAATGAAGGGTTTCCGTTTTTTTCATTGCCTCTACTTAATTTATATACCGTAAGTAAGTATAAATACTATTTGATGCGATAAAATGTGACGTCATAATAAGCAATCTTGTACATAATTCATAGAAACTAGTCAAATAATTTCCATTTCCAAGAAAACATAATCAAGAGACGTATACATTTACGCTTCATATCTCAAATAAATGTAAGCACATTTAGCTTTCACTGTAAAGTTAATATCACACTTAAAATGATTAAAATTCACTAATTTATCAAATAAAATCTCGTCTGAAAAGGCTGCGAAATATTTCCAGCATTTTAAAAAGCGGCCATATCGCAATTTATAAGTCGTTACCTCGAAATATCTGCATAGCTGTAAACCACAGCGGGGGGTTGAATGAAGAAAGCGCCATTGCGGTTAGATGACTAAGGCCATTAGATTATAATGGGCCCTTCTGACATTAGCTATATTGAAAACTAGCGTGCCCGCTGTTTCATCCACTTAATGTCAACGTGTGAGGTTACGTAAGCCCGACACGTTGCTACTTTTTGTTAAAAGTATTGTATTATATTACTAAGTAGTTATTGATTTTAGCCGACTTTTGCGATACAATATCAATTTCAAATTTGTTAGGATATACAAAAATAAACATTAATGTAAGAATTAATAAAAGCGAGCCTAAAAACAATGTATCAGATTAGGACAAACGTTCCAAAGATATCAAAGCAAACGAAAATCCCTAAGAGTTTCAATTTCGAAATTAAATCAATTAAATTGGATACGCGTAATACCGTTGGCCATATCATTGTGAATTATCTTTCTATTCTTGAAAAAGGAAAAGATGACGAGAATAAAGATAAGAATCAAATCAATGGAAAAGAAAAAAATTAGAACGGATTCGTTATTGAAGATAGGTATTCATGTAATCCAATATCTGTCGAGGTTTATGAAAACGCCGTACTTAGAGGAAATAAAAAAGATATTTCGAGGGGACCGAGAGACATTACTGATGGTTTCGCTCAAGATTGCAAAGAAATAATATTTATAGAAGCGACAGTTTTTTGTTCAGCTATGTACAGTCAGCTCCAAAAGTCGATGAACAGAATCAACTTTCCAAAACACCTGTTCACAATAAAATGCCATAAGTTATAGTCACAACTAGGAAACAAAATAGAATGTACATCAGAAATTTACAAAAGTCGTTAAACACGACTAATTCAAAAGTATCTGTGCACTATAGTATTCCTAAAGTCGCTGTACACCATCAATCCAAATGTCGCTGAACATCATTGTATCAAAAGTCAGTAAACAGCAGAAAAGTCTAAATTAGGATAACAAAGTATATTTTTAATGTTGCACTGTGTTAATATAATTTTGACGCTTATGTTGTTCAGCTACTTTTGGGACAGTGCTCGCTAGACCTTAATAATGTATTTTAACACGTAAGTATCCATTTCAATACTTATTTACACATCAATTATATTTTTAACCGACTTCAAAAAAGGAGTAAGTGCTCAATTCGATGCGTATTTTTTTTTTATTTTGTATTCACCGATTACTCGAAGACGACTGGACCGATTTGCAAAATTCTTTTTTTATTTGAAAGGGTTTACCTGCCATTTGGTCCCATTGTCATGAGGTTAGAATCTGATGATGGAATTCTGGAGAAATCGAGGGGAACTTTCAATAATTGCAGGGGCGAGTAGTTCTTTTGTATGATGTTTAAGTAGGTCTTTTACAACACTATAACTTGACGAAGGTCGAAGTCGACCTGATGTTGGAGCTGGAAGACAGTCGAGGGATCTCCTTGACTATTTGGAGTAGTTGCCTTGTGTTTGAGCTTGAATGATTCGTATTGGCACTTTGCACCAGGCTTAGTCGTAACTGTCATTAAGGGTCTGATGATGAGAACGAAGGACAGGGAACTCCTGAACGGATTATAGTAACTACTTCGTGTTTGAACTTAATTCATATTGTCAGTAATCATACTAATATATAATATGAAATAACATAAACATCACTCTAACAATCTACGAAGTAGACAACTTTGTATACAGAAAATATATTTTTTATGTTTGTGTTTACTTTTTGAAGTCGTTTCTTTTTTTTTCATTTAGGTAAATAGAAAATAATAATAATAATAAGCCCGCAGGGCACCTTGAGGCGAGGTGACGGGAATTAGCGATCCCGCGGGCTACCATCATCCCGATTGCTTCAGGGAGAAGTCACCGTTCCTCATCTCCGGCTTGCCTTCATTGGCTGGCCGGAGTGGACGATGACGAGGAACAGGTCTCCTACCTCTGGCTTGCCTTCATTGGCCGTCCAGAGTGGAGTCGCGAGAGTAGTGATCCTGCTCGGAGGGTGGAAGCTGTTCGTAAGCGGCGAGTGGGCCAGTGATGCAGGATGCTTAGGCAGATGCAGATGATCTGAGTAGAAAGCTGGTGGCAGTTTCTTCACCCTTCAGCAACTCACATTTCCGTTGTCCCTCTGTTGCTATTACTAGCAACCATTCCCGGGGGCCCGGTCGGTGAGTTGGCGAGTCTCCGCCTGCCATTTTTACGTGTATTTATTACATTGTTTCGGCAGGTGCCATAGTCCTTCCATAGTTCCCATCATACTAGTCCATAACAACCCACACCCATAGTCTTATCCCTTGTTTCCATTATCCGCAATAGTCCTACACTAACCGGAGACTGTCCTTGGGTGCATTTCCATGTGCATACAGGGATAGTCGCCGGTTAGTGTCCCATTTCATTTAGATTAAAGTTGTCTAAAGAGCCTCTGCGCAGTTGGCTCCGGCCCCTCGTACGCCTTCCAAATGACCGGGACCCTGTGGTCCCGTGATTGGTAAAGACATACAAATAATAATAATAATATCCGCAAGGCAGCTTGTGGCGAGCTGTTGGGCAGTGGCGACCCCACGGACCTGACTCCCGGGAGGTGTCTTGTTCTTCTCTCTCCAGTTAGTCCTCGTGACGAGCTGGAGTGAACACTGATGAAGAACAAGCCCTCCTACCTCATTCTTGCCTTAATTGGCTAGCTTGAGTGGAGATTCGCAAGAGTAGGAGTTGAAGGAGACTCGGGGGAAGGATGTATCTCAGTAAGGTGCTGGCAGGGGTCTTGACCGTACATCCGGGATTGCTCTGATAGCCGTGGGATGCCTCTCCTTCCCCAAGCAGCTCAACGTATGTTGCCTCCGTGTCGCTACATGCTAGCGGCCGTTTCCGGGGGCCCATTAATTGAGTTTGCCAGTCATCCCCTGCCTGTTTATCCGTATGTATCAATATTGGTCAGGGGCAGGGGCCATAGTATTTCCATAGTTATCATATCCACCAGTCCATAGCAACCCATATTCATAACCCTATCAATTTTTACCACATTTCACAATAGTCTTGCATCAACCGGGGATTGTCCTTGGGTGCACTTATATAGTGCATACAGGGATAATTACCGGCTGATGTCCCATCACATTTAGATTAAAACTGTTCAACGGGCCTCTGCGAGTTGGCTTCGGCTCCTCATACGCCTTCCATAGGTCCGGGACCCTGTAGGTGCCGTGAAAGGATAGAACAAACAAATAATAATAACTATTTTTATAATCTCGCAGTAGGTGCCAAGTAAATGCTACATACCAAACAACAACAGTATTAGAAACGTGTATTGATCGGTACCTAGTAATCATCATTGTTTTACTTGGTACCTGGCACTTAATTGGCACCGACTTCGAGATTATAAAAATAGTTATTAATATTATTTTCTATTTACCTAAATGAAAACATGTATTACTTTGTAGACAGAAAATTATTTTTTTTGTTAAAATTAATTTTATTTCACCATTTTAAGTGATATGCAGAGCAAGCAAGGATAATGCGTTTCGAATGAGAAGACGACGGCTACTTGAGACCGAAAATCACGGTAATAGTAGTAGTCCTTAGTGTTCAGTTCTGTAAATTGTTGAGGAATGCCCTCGACTGTCAATGGTCTCCATCATTATGTATACTGTAGACCTTCAACATAGTTACATAATGTATATAGGTGCAAAGTGCTCATCAATACGAATCATTCCAGCCCAAACACAAAATAATTACTCCAAATAGTCAAAGAGATCCCTCTACGGTCTTCCGGCTCCATCATCAGATTAACTGCATAACTTCATTGTAACTCATGTAGGTGCGAAGATTTTATTGATATAAATGAATTAATTCCAAACACGAGGTAGTTACTGGAAACCGTTCAGGCGTTCCCTGAGCTGTCCTTCGTTGTCATCATCAGACCCCTAGTGACAGTCACTACCAGTCTTGGTGCAAAGTGCTCACCAAAAAGAATTATTCAAGCCCAAACACAAGGCAATTACTCCAAATAGTCAAGGATATCCCTCGACTGTCTTTCTGTTTCATCATCATCAGGTCGAGTTCAACCATCGACAAGTTGACGTAAATACCTGAATAACTTCAGAAAATATACGAATCATGCCGACTGTCCCTATAAAATTTTAAATTTTCACTCAATTTTTCTGGGTTTCCATCATCAGATCTTGACCTGGTGAACATGGGATAACCTGGAAATCATACCCTACTGAACAAAAAAAAAAAATCCAAATCGGTCCAGGAGCCTTAAATAATCGGTTAACATCAAAAAAAAATCCCGACGAATTGAGAACCTCCACCTTTTTTTAAAGTCGGTTAAAAATATTAATAATTTTTAAATAAGTATTGAAAAAGATACTAACGTGTTAATATACATTATTAAGTTACACTGTCCCAAAAGTAGCTGAACAACATAAGCGTTAAAATTATATTAACAAAGTGCAACATTAAAAATATACTTTGTTAACTTAATTTTGACTTTTCTGCTGTTTACTGACTTTTGATACAATGTTGTTCAGCGACATTTGGATTGATGGTGTACAGCGACTTTAGGAATACTATAGTGCACAGATACTTTTGAATTAGTCGTGTTTACCGACTTTTGTAAATTTCTAATGTACAGGCTATTTTGTTTCCTAGTTGTGACTATAACTTATGGCATTTTATTGTGAACAGGTGTTTTGGAAAGTTGATTCTGTTCATCGACTTTTGGAGCTGACTGTACCTACAAAATGATTTATATTGGTTTCTATTTCATTGATTGCTTTCTGAATGTTGTTTATTATTTATGAATTTGTTTTTACTTCTGGATCTTGTTTGACTATTATTGTGTGTTTCTTGTAATTGTTTGTTTTGTTTTGATCGTATTTTATTAGAGATCCGAATTTGTATTTTATGATTGATGTTGCTTCTTATTTTGTAAAAGTAATTTTTATATTATTATATTTATGTGAACTGCAGTATTAATTTTTTGCTTAGACCCAAGCTTTATACATAAATGAAAGGTCGTGGCAGCTTAGTCAGATATTTTCGACCCATCTTCCAG